TGTACATACACCCTTTGCGTCGAAATCCGAATTAGTGGCGCGATTCCGCACTGGGGAGGGGGAAAAGTGGTGACCGGGACGAAGAAGTAGACATTGGTCACCTCTGCGCGCTAAGTGTCGATAGCTGATGTCAAATAAAGCCCTCCTCGACGGTCGGAGCCCACCTCGTGTGCCTCTCAGGTGCCTCTAGGGTCAACAACATACTAAAGGTAACTAACATTTCCGATTTTCAGCGTTCGGAAGCGGAAAGAAAGTCATGGTTCCCGAAGGGGTGCAGCGGAGTTAGTGGCAGATTCGCAAATGGGGCGCCGCTCCATTCACGAATCTTCAGCTAACTCTTCTGCAACCCAGCTAGTTCGTGAGTTGCTCCGGAGGATAATCACCGGACTTTTTTTTGAAATTCCCCCCGGACTCGCCACTAATTCGGATTTCGACCCCTTTGGTGTGAGTGCTAGTGCATGAGGGTTTGGGTCGATCGCTCGACTTCAGCCTGACGTCGACCAAGCCAGTGACTGAATAACACCTGATGAACCATGCTGAGCCGCTAATATATTTATGATAGGGATTCAAGCTGGCGTCTGACTGTTCTGAATGTTTATATATTAATGTAGGGGGGTTCGGGCTAGCGGTACGTTTCAAGTTCAAGTCAGGCTGATCTAAGCGCTCCGACGCAGGCTCCTACGCGCTACGCCCAATTGGGGAGCTGGTAGAAGTGGTGGATGATGAGGAAGCCGAAAACAAAGCGCTGGAGTCGCTGCGCAACGCGGGGCCGCCCGACAGTGCGCGAGCAAGCGAGTCCATTGGTGATCCCAGCGGTGACGTATTGCCGGGAAGCGATGGGGTTTTGAATGTCGAGAACTCGATTGCGCGTGCAGGGCGCGGGGCGCAGCGCGGGGGCGTGGGTGGAAGGACTGGTTGAAGAGGGAGCCGAAGGAGCCGAGACGTCGAGCGTGAGCGAGTCCACTTAATGGCGGGTTTGGGTTTTGAATGCCATGAACTTGTTCGCGCGTGCAGGGCGCGGGCCGCCGCGCGGGGGCGCGGTGGAAGGACTAGTTGAAGAAGGAGCCGAAGGAGCCAAACCAGGCACGCTAATAGATATACATCAAAGTTATACTTGGATCAAAACATCCTGAGCAAATATGTTACATGTGTACCCTTTAATAGGAAGGGTACAGGAGATCGCGGGCAATAAGAAACCGGCGTGTTAAGAAACTGAGCCTCGTTTCTTTGCCCTTCAATAGAATTTTAACCAAATTTTAACCATTGTTTGTTCTCGGCCGCCTTCGTCGCGTCGGCGGCACGCGCAGTGACCTCCTTCCTCGATCAGCACGACGCGACGGGCACAGTGACGGTGCACGGCGTCCTCGAGCGGCCGTCGATCGCAGAGCGAATCGGGCGTGACTCCTTCGCCGCACCCCTGCTGGCGGAAGTTCGGCGACTCCGGCTCACGCCTCGGCGCGGCAATCATCGCGACCGGCACCGCCCTGCGCGCTCGCGTGCCACCTGGGTACACGGGCGAGCTCCGCGTGCTACGTGTGCCCCCAGAGGAGATGGGCCTGCGCGGCAAGGGGCTGCACGGTGCCGGCCTGCAGGCGGCCATAACGTCGGACCTTCAGCAGATTGAGCACGAGACGCTGAGTGAGCAGCTCGCGCACCGGCCGCGTGGAGATCGTCACATGCAGCTCTTCCGCAACATCTCGCGCGAGAGCATGATCGTCTTCACGGTGCTCCCTGCCGGTCTCGCCAAGGTGCCCAACGACGAGTGGACAGAGATATCCGCACGCGCCCTCGGCCTCCCGAGCCCCGCGTGCGCTCACCTCGTCGGGCGCCCACTCCCCCAGGTCTCCGGCCGCAACACCACACACGTCGACCCCTACGGGGACACGCTCGCTGCAGCCAGCAATTTCCAGGGCGGCCACTACGCCAAGCTCCAGCACGACCCCGTCGTCAGGGCGGTCGCGCGCTTCGCGACCGTGTATGGCTGCACCCAAGCCCAGGCGGAGAACTCAGAGATTTTCGGCTCCGTTCTGCGGCAGAACTCCGGTTCGATGCGGATCGAGGAGGCGCTTCTCCGCGCGCGCGCGGCTACAGTCGACGTCTATGTGGAGCTCGACCAGCCTGATGGACAGGCCGCCGTTGGTCACATCGTCGAGATGAAGACGATCCACTACGGCCTGACGCACTACAACGCGGTTGCGCCGACGCGCGGCCACGCGGTAGAGAACCGCTCGGGCAAGCTTGACGGTGAGCGCAGGAGGCAGCTCCAGCAGACCGACCGTGAGGTTTTCCGCACGCGAGAGGGCCAGGTGGGACCGATGGAGCAGCGCCTCAACGGCT